CCCTTAAAAATATCCTGTAGAGGTGGTTTGTGGGAGGCTGATTCCCTCAACTTTTGCTTGTCTGGGAATTGTTTAATCCCTTCTTCATATTTAAATGATAATCATGCTGGATACAGTATTCTTGGTTCAAGGCCCTTCTGTTTCATTGCATTAAATATATCATGCCATTCTCTTCTGGCCTGTAAGGTTTCTGTTGAAATGTCTGATGATAGCCTGATGGGTTTTCCTTTGTAGGTGATCTTTTTTCTCTTTCTGGCTGCCTTTAATACTCTGTCCTTGTCTTTGATCTTTGCCATTTTAATTATTATGTGTCTTGGTGTTGTCCTCCTTGGGTCTCTTGTGTTGGGAGATCTGTGGGCTTCCATGGTCTGAGAGACTATTTCCTCCCCCAGTTTGGGGAAGTTTCCAGCAATTATTTCTTCAAAGACATTTTCTATCCCTTTTTCTCTCTCTTCTTCTGGTACCCCTATAATGTGAATATTGTTCCATTTGGATTGGTCACACAGTTCTCCTAATATTCTTTCATTCCTTCATTCCTGGAGACCCTTTTGTCTCTTTATGCCTCAGCTTCTCTGTATTCCTGTTCTCTGATTTCTATTTCATTAACAGTCTCTTGCACCTCATCCAGTCTGCTCTTAAGTCCTTCCAGAGATTGTTTCATTTCTGTAATCTCCCTCCTGACTTTATCCCTTAGCTGTTGCACATTTCTTTGTAGGTGTTTGATATGACCTTTATTTTGAATTTCTTTTTCAGGAACATTAATTATATCTATCTCCCCAGGCCCTCTCTTGGGGGTTCTCTGGGTGATTCTCTACTGGACCAAATTCTTCTGCCTTTTCATGGCGATAGAGGTAGTCGTAGGCAGGTAGCGCGTGTGTCAGCTGGGAGAACAAAGTCCCTTCCTGCTTGCTGGTTGTCTTGCCCTTCTCCTCTGCCTGGGTCAGTTACCTGCACACTGGGAGCAGCCTCCGGGTTAATCCCCTGAGCTGATGTGGGTGGGGCCACCCTTGGGGCAGCTGAGAGCCCTGTGTGGAGTGGCAGGTGCGCCGGGTGTGCTCTCCTCTGAGAATGGCTCCCCCTCGCACCTTGCTCTGGCTTCCTCTGTCTGCGCCAGGCAGCTGCGCACTGGCGGCAGCCTCTGGGTCTGGCCCGGGCAGATGTGTGCCAGGAAGAGACTCTAGGCGGTTGTTGCAGGCAGGGCCGCTTTCTGGCCACTCCGCTGTGGCGTGGCAGTGTTGGCTGGGGGTAATGAATGGCAGGCTGCTCATTGCCGTGAGGGGCTTCAGAGCTGCTTTGCCACCCAGGGGGTTAGGGCGCTTGAAGGTTTTCAGTATTCCCAGCCTGCTGGGTTGAGAGTGCCAGGACAATTCCATGCGCTGTGAGGCCCCTGTCACTTTAAGACTTTCAAAAAGCACCCGCCTTTCTTTTGTCCCAGGGGAGCTGGCTGTGGGGACCCACCTGCTTGCAGTCTCAGTCTCAGATTTTACCTTTCCATCTCTCTAATATCCAGTACACCATGCAATGTTTGCACTCCCAGTGCAGATGACTAGGGCTGGTTATTTAGCAGTCCTGGGCTCCCTCTCCCTCCCCGCTCCGACTCCTCTCCTCCCGCTGGGAGCTGGGGTTGGGGGAGTGCTCGGGTCCTGCAGGGTTGTGGCTCCGTAACTTACCCCCTTTGTAAGGTGCTGAGTTCTTGCGGATGTAGATGTAGCCTGGCTCTTGTACTGTGTCTTCTGGTCTCTCTGTTAGGCGTAGTTGTATTTGTTGTATTTTCAAAAATATGTATGGTTTTGGGAGGAGATTTCTGCTGCCCTACTCATGCTGCCATCTTGGCTTCTCTGCACTTGGTATCGAGACGGCGAATGTGGACTGAGTTCACCTCTCAGTTACCTGTTCTCATCTGTGGTCTGTTGTATGACTATCAGTCGACTTCTGGCATTATACTGTACTTCTGTTCTTCTACCAACGGTAAAATTTCACAATATTTAAGACTTTACAGGTAATGTAAAGTATGACTGATTCTAATACTGTACAGATTTCATCTGTTTTAGAAAAGTAAGCTCTTAAAAAATCATGGATGATTGTTTCTTCCTGCAGTGATTCCACTTTGTAAATGTATTTGATAAGCTGTAGAAATGATAATTCCATGGTTCAGAGACTATAAAACATACTGACAATCAGAGTTTTACTACGGGAAATTTTAAAAGCATTCTTACCTTGTTACCCAACTTAGGAGGTGGGCTTTGTGGGTATTTCTGATGTCTATCTTCAAACGAAATTATGACAATTTATAAGTCCTATGTTTTTGGTTTCACTTTCAACTTGAGCTGAAATTACTTTATTTAAAAATGAGTTTATCAAATCAAAACCACAGTTGAGATACCACTCTTCAACCCCACTAGGGTGACTATTTTGAAAACAAAAACAAAATAACAAGTGATGGAAAGGATGTGAAAAAATCCAAATTCATGTGTGTGGCTGGTCGGAATGTAAGTGATACAGCCACTGCAGAAAAATAATATGATGGTTCCTCAAAAACATTTAAAGAATTACCATGTGATCCAGCTATTCTGCTTGTGGATGCATGCCCAAGAAAATGTAAAGGGGGGAATTGAATAGATATGTATATACCAGTGTTCCCAGCAGCATTATTCACAGTTGCTAAAAGGAGTAAACCACTCAAATGTCCATTTATGGATGAATGGATAAACATAATGTACAGACAGTGGATTTAATCAGCGTTTGAAAAGGAAGGAAGCTTGCGACATGCTACAACTTGGTTAAATCTTGAGGACATCATGCTCAGTGAAATAAGCCAGTCACTAAATGGCAGATGCCGCATGAATCCCCCTGTGTGAGGTCCCTGGTGTGATCAGATCATGGAGACAGAGTGGAGTGGTGGTTGCCAGGCATTGGGAAAAGGGGGATGGGGAGTTGTTTAGTAGATGCAGAGATTCGTTTGGGGATGATGAAAAACCTGGAAACAGATGTGATGTTTCACAATAGTGTGAACGTACTTAATGCCACAGAGCTGTACACTGATACATGATTAGATGGTAAATTTTAATTAGGTATATTTTGCCACAATAAAAAAAATAGGTTTCTCAACACTGTATGTAAATCTAGTTACCTCAAAATAAAAAGTTTCATTAAAAAAATGACAGAAGAAAATAGGTTTATCCCTTTCACATTCTTTGGTCTCTTTGTTGGAGCTTTTGTTCTTCATAGATTTTGTACTGATGTCACAGTTGATAGAATGAGAAATTAACCTGTGGCTCCTGGAATTTGTTCCTGCCTCAGTCTTTTAAGATCCAGCTACTTCCACACATCCAATTACACAGTGTGCGCCTGTTATATATCAGACCAGCTGAGTCTTTTGACGTTTAAAAATAAGTATGATCCAGTGATTAATCCCTGTTTGAAGGCTCATGGAATGCAGTTAAACAGTGTTAGACTATTTGTGGTAGTTTGTAGGAGAAACAACTCAGGACATTAGCTCTGGCTTTCTCATGTCTTCCAGGTGTACCTTGAAAGACTTCTAACATATGCAGAAATAGATATCTGTCCGGCCAACTGGAAGCGAATTGTTCTTGGGGCGATTTTGCTGGCCTCCAAGGTATGGGACGACCAGGCTGTGTGGAATGTGGATTACTGCCAGATCCTGAAAGACATCACGGTGGAGGACATGTGAGTGTGTTGGGTAGATTCCATGTCCCAAGGGAACTGTAGGGGAAGGAGGCCACACCCCTTTTGCATGGGTGTCTCCTGCAGAATGAATGGATTTGACTGTTGTGAGCTGTACAACAAGGGCACGGTTGTAGATTATCAAGCAAAAACCTGTATTTCTCTGCATTGGAGGTCATTAACAGGTACTGTTAATCCTTTGTGATGTTGTGAAACTGGTTCCAGAGATTCTGATAGGCGAGCATTCCTTTGCCATAGTTAGAAAGGCGTGGGCCAGAGCCAGCACAGTCTGACAGTATGTGGTGGCTTTTATCTGTGCCCCATCTCTGCAGGCTGCTTAAAAGTTAATGCCCCACGCCGGTCTTTTGTGAGCAACAGCCTTCCCAAAAGGCAGAGGTGCTAAATATTGTCTGTTTCTCTTCAGTTGTAGAAAGAAAATGTTCACTGCTTTTGTCATGTTTTGCAAGTTCAGTTGCGTAAAATCAGCATTCTGTCCCTGGGGCCTCATGTGTCTCCACATTTGGCTGTGTGTCCTCTCCAGCTGGTCTCGGAGTCCCCACAGTTCAGTGGATGTGCCATAAACCTGGGAGTCCTGTCCACTCCCATAGCCTCAGGGCAGCCTCAGGATCTCAGCCTATTCAGCCCTCAGATTCAGGAGAGGGTTGTTCACAAGACCTGCGGCCCTGCTGTCTGGAGTCCCTGGGGTCTGGGAATACAGGAAATAGCTTCAGAGCCTCAAAGGAGGTAGGAGCTGCTTTGGAAAACAATCAGAATGAATACTTAGAGTTCCTGATGGTCTGCGGGCACTGTTCTTGCTGAAGTTTTCTCATAGTGTGTGTTTGGCTTCCTTGAGGAAGCTTCAGGCTAGTGGACATTCCCATTGGTGTCCCAATCCATATCCACCTCCTTGGCCCCGTAATCTGGGGGCGTAGGTTCTTCACTGCCTGTGTCTACCACCCCTGGGGGGTCACGTGGCTGCTCTGGGTCTGGGTTCCTCACCAGCCCAGGCCCTCCCTGCCCCATGCTTGTGGGACACTTTGAAGTATATGCTTGTTTGTGTTCTTAGGTCTTTGCTTGCAGAGCCAGTTCCTGCTGCAGACCTATAAAACTCCTTCCAGGGTCTGTGATTCTTCATCATCAAAAGTAAGGAAAGCATAAATACATCTTTGATAATAAGGAAAATTAAATTCTTGATTCTGTTTCAGGGTGAAACAGCCCAAAAAATAATTGTCATGCAGACAGACATACAGGAGATGACCATTTGGGTGCAAGGTGGGGAGCACTGCTAACAATATTCCCTGTATTGGTTTGTTCTCCCATCAGCACTTTTGTCTCATTTGAACTGGGACTGCATGGTATGGGAATGACATCATGGCTGCCCTTTTGTGTTTACGTAAAATAAAGTAGATGATGCGTGTGTAGGGGAGGAAAAGTTTTTCCCTCTTCCCTTTTAGGTTCTTTGGTCTAGTAATTAAATTGACATAAGGCAGGAGATTTACAGGAGTGATAGGAGAAAAACAAATACAGTTTCATATAGACAGGAGCCCCATAAAAACATGAGACTCAAAAGGAATGGGATAGGGGCTGTGACTTCCAAGGGAAGGAGGGCAATACACAGGATGATAGGAATAATGATGTTCGCCCTGCCTGCGGGCTGTGCCCCTCAGGATACTGGACTGAATCTCAGTAAGGTTGGGTGAGCAGCCTGCTTCCCCCTGCAGATCGACAAGTGGGAGAGAAGGAGCCAGAGGAGGCCCTCACATCATGAGATGTGTTCTTGGCAAGTCTATTTTAAGAGAGAGAAACAAGAGCTACAGATCCAGGAATCCATCCCTAATGTTGGTGTGTGCCTGGGCATGCTTAGCGAAGGCCTGTGTGCTGTAAGGAAGTAGACCCCCAGGATGAAGACCAGCGCCCCCTGAGCCTGTGCTGGAGACCAGAGTTCCCAGCTGAGCCACGTCCCGTGAGTTAAAGCCCTGACCCCCAGCACCTTGAAATATGACTGTGTTTATAGATAAGGTCTTTAAAGAGGTAATTAAGTTAACTTGGGGTCATTAGGGTAGGTCCTGATCCCGGTGACAGGCCAGGCAGAGTGACCACTGGGGGCAGACACAGGAGGGTGTCTGCGTGCCCGGGGGACTGCTGTCCCTGATCGTTGGCTTCCAGCCACCAGAACCGAGAGCTGCCTGGTGGGTGGTGACGATCACAGCAGCTGGAAGTGGGGCAGCTCTAATACATGTTAAAGGGGCAGAAGGGACTTTGGAGCTGATCATGGGTAGAGACTGGAAGAGTTTTGAGGTACATGTGAAAAAACCCTAGAGTGCTTGGAAGAGATTGTTGGTAGAAATATGGTTGTTAAGGCCGTTCTGGGGAGGGCTCAGCAAGAAGAGAGCTTTAGAGCAAGCCTCTCTCCTAGATAATGCACACATCATCGCAAACACAGCGTGGCTGGAATGTGAAAGTTCATGGTGCTCCTGAAGGGAGGTGTCTGACAGGAACATCTGTGGAAGGGAACTTGGCTAGGTTTGTCCAGGACCATTCTGGTGATGAACTTCAATTAGCTGAGGAGATTTCCAAGCAGAGAGTTGAAGGTGCTGCCTGGTTTCTCCTTGCTGCTCATGGTACCGTGTAAGAGGGATCAGACACTAAAGATTTGGAGAATCTCAAATTTACCAAGCTCAGCCTGTGTCCGTTGCAAAAGATGAGGAGGTGTGGTCTGGAGAGGACCCTGGGGTGAGGCCAGACAGTTGGCAGGGCTGCCTTTGCCACCATGGGCATGGCAGGCACAGGAGGGGCTCTGGAAGGCAGGGCTGCCACAGTGGGCTGCATGATGGACCATGGGCCACAGAAGATCATTCCCAAGTTCGAAATCCTATGGAGCCTGTCCCACTGGGTTTTGGACTTAACCTGAGCCTGTGGCCTCTGTGTTTCCTGACCGCACCCTTTTATAGTAGTATGTCCATCCCTGTCCCTCTGCTGTAGTTTGGTTTCACAGGTTCACAGTGGAGAGGAATTTGCCTCAGGATAAGTCATAGAGAAATTCTGTACCCGTCAAAAAACATCTCCCCTTTTCCCCACACCACCAGCCCATGGCAGCCATCACTCTGCTTTGTCTCTATGATTTGACGTCTGTGGGTAGTTCATGTAAGTGGGGTCATGTAGTATGTGTGACTGGCTTATTGCACTTAGCATAATGTCCTCAAGGTTTATCCATCTTGTATACTGTTGTCAGCTGATATTTCCTTCCTTTTTAAGGCTGAAAATACTCATTTTGTGTATCTGCCACATCCATCCATCAGTAGACATTTGGGTTGCTTTTCTGTTGGCTGTTGTGAATAATGGTTCTGTGAACATGGGTGTACAAATGCATTTTTGAGTCCCTGCTTTCTTTTGGGTCTATATCCAAAAGCAGAATTGCTCATCTAGTGGCTGGCTTTTAAAGTGAACACACTTTTCTAGAAAAGCAGGCAGATTATTAGATGATGAAAACAACTCTCTTTACTCCATTTTCAGAGGCCCTTTTGCAAGTTGCCAAATTGCACCAAGTCAGTTGGATTTCTTTACAGTGTTGATCTAATGTAGCAAATATTTCCAAAATGTATTTTTTGTTTATTGATCCGAATTTACTTCTTGTAAAGTTTTACATCATAACTATTTCCTCATAATTAATCCAGTTGAAGGCAGTAAATCATCAAGCCATTTCTTTGCATTGCTGTTCATATTCTAATGATTTACCACATCACAAGCTGTCAGATGCCCCTTTAAAATGGACTGCTGTAGTTTGGGAATTAAAATTTTGGCAATTTAATTTTCTATAACTGGCCTTGGTTTGAAAACACAGCAGCGCTAAAATCCGTTTCCCTCAGAGCTTAAATAGAAACATTCAAGAAAAGCCTGGAAAAAGGTTCTTTTTTCCAAGGACCCCTGGAATAATGCCACCTTGTTGAGAAGCAAATTCCTCTTGACTTTAATCAGAGTGTACATTCTCAGCAAGAGTCACTAGAGCCCATATGCCACTTGTGGCAGGTTGGCGGACTTTGTGCTGTCTTATAAAACGAGGTTCTCAGCATTGGGAGAGTAAGACCTGCAGTGACATACTTTGGCCACCAGCTGGCAGTTTCCCACAGGCAGCTTCCAGCTCACCCCAGAGAGCGCCTTCCCGCCCATTGGTCTTGGCACTTTGGTAGGTATCCTTGACATTCATTATTTGTATTTGTATTTATTACTTGTATTATTTATGTATTTCATTACGTTTACCTGGATTCCAGTATTCCACAGGATGAATGCTTATTAAGTCTCAAAGCAGGTATAAGTAAAAGTTATTCAAAGTCATTGTTTCTGAACGAGGTGGCATTTTCCCAGGGTTTTGTGGATAAAAGAACAACCTTTCTTCAGGCTTTTCTTGAACGTTTCCGTTTAAGCTCTGAGGGAAATAGGGCTTTTAGAGTTGCTGTGTTTTCAAGCTAAGGTGAGTTTTAGAAAATAAAAATAATCCCCCAAAGTTAAAAAAGTAATTTAAAAATATAAATTAAAGTCAAATAAGTCAAAGTAATTTAACTTCCTTAAGGAAGTAAAGTGTAGCACAGTGTGTACTTTTGAAGCTTAGCTCCTTTCACTAGGCCATGTGGGAAGATCATGCCTGTTAGGCAGCATCTCCCTATGGCTTCCTGCTTTTTCCCACCAAAGCACTCAATAGCAACTTGTTCAGTTCTTCTCTCTCTCTCTCTCTCTCTCTCTCTCTCTCTCTTTTTAACAAATTAAATAGAAAATACTAGAAATAAAGTTTCAAGGAGGATTTGAATTTCAAAAAGCTTTCAAGAAAGTTTCAAGCCTAAAGAGTATTGAATTCGTTTAAGATGGAGGAAGGAAAGAGAGATTATTTGTAGACATTTGAAAGATCATGGTGGGCTAGACAAGAGGCACCTAGGTATGGAAGGAGGTCACAAGCTTTTGCACAACCAACCCTTCATCCCCATGACCTTACCAGGGCCTGGGCTTGTCCTTGCTCCTACAGTTTATAGAGTGATTTTTGTAATGAGCTAACCTGCTGTGTTGTGTTCTTAGTGTGTAGCTCTGAGAGGGTGATGGAGAAGGCACATGTGTGCCCACAAGAGTGTGAGTGCTCAGCTCAGGTCTCGGGTAGGACAGTACCTGACAGAGGACCAGCAGAGCCCCAGCTTGCCGTGGTTTCTTAGTTATCATCTGCCCACTGGCTTCCCTCTCTGGAGCCACCCACCCTTGCCCCCATCTCAGTCCCACAAGCCAAGTCACAGTCCTCAGCCTCTGATGGCTTAGTGAGCATCACCAGAGGCAGACTGGGACTTGGCACCGTGGGGACAGGCTGGTGGTGCCATTGTAGTTGGAGGCCAGGAAAAGTCAGATGCCCGCAAACAGACCCAGACCTCGGAGGCTCTGTGTTGAGTGGAGTCAGAGGAGGGGGGTTGGGCTGAGAGGGGTGAGGCCTGGCACTCGTGACAGGGCTTGTCAGTCTCCAGCTCCATGCACAGGAAGTTGTGGCAGTGTGTCCTTCTGCAGGGGTGTGGGTGGCTTGGTGAACAGCCCACTGGAGATATCCCACCCACCCAGCCTTGTTCTTCTATGCCACAGTGCCCCTCTTCCCGACTCAGCTCAGCTCTTAACTTCATGAGAAGCCTTCCCTGATCTCTCCATTTCTCTCTCTCTCTCTCTCTCTCTCTCTCTTTTTAACAAATTAAATAGAAAATACTAGAAATAAAGTTTCAAGGAGGATTTGAATTTCAAAAAGCTTTCAAGAAAGTTTCAAGCCTAAAGAGTATTGAATTCGTTTAAGATGGAGGAAGGAAAGAGAGATTATTTGTAGACATTTGAAAGATCATGGTGGGCTAGACAAGAGGCACCTAGGTATGGAAGGAGGTCACAAGCTTTTGCACAACCAACCCTTCATCCCCATGACCTTACCAGGGCCTGGGCTTGTCCTTGCTCCTACAGTTTATAGAGTGATTTTTGTAATGAGCTAACCTGCTGTGTTGTGTTCTTAGTGTGTAGCTCTGAGAGGGTGATGGAGAAGGCACATGTGTGCCCACAAGAGTGTGAGTGCTCAGCTCAGGTCTCGGGTAGGACAGTACCTGACAGAGGACCAGCAGAGCCCCAGCTTGCCGTGGTTTCTTAGTTATCATCTGCCCACTGGCTTCCCTCTCTGGAGCCACCCACCCTTGCCCCCATCTCAGTCCCACAAGCCAAGTCACAGTCCTCAGCCTCTGATGGCTTAGTGAGCATCACCAGAGGCAGACTGGGACTTGGCACCGTGGGGACAGGCTGGTGGTGCCATTGTAGTTGGAGGCCAGGAAAAGTCAGATGCCCGCAAACAGACCCAGACCTCGGAGGCTCTGTGTTGAGTGGAGTCAGAGGAGGGGGGTTGGGCTGAGAGGGGTGAGGCCTGGCACTCGTGACAGGGCTTGTCAGTCTCCAGCTCCATGCACAGGAAGTTGTGGCAGTGTGTCCTTCTGCAGGGGTGTGGGTGGCTTGGTGAACAGCCCACTGGAGATATCCCACCCACCCAGCCTTGTTCTTCTATGCCACAGTGCCCCTCTTCCCGACTCAGCTCAGCTCTTAACTTCATGAGAAGCCTTCCCTGATCTCTCCATGCTGGGCTGGGTCTGCTCCATTCATAACAGTAATTATTGAGTACCAACTGTATGTTGGGGGGCTGGGGGCATGAGATTAGATGTCATGGTCTCTGGCTATAAGGGGACAAATAGGGCAACTGTGTGACTCAGCAGTGCAGCTGAGCATGACAGAGGGCAGCAGTTGGGGGCTCTACAGTCTGCTAGGGGTGCAGGGTGCTCTCTGGGGAGGCAGCTAAAACTGGTACCCAGCCGGGACCAGTGCTCATAACCAACATGGGAAAGTCCTCAATGAAAAGTTATAAAATTTATTCTGGTTACTCATCATTTGTTTTCATCAGAAAATAAATGGCTTGGCCAGATGGATTTTTTTTTTTATTTTAAGTTATTATTGATATACACTCTTATGAAGGTTTCACATGAAAAAACAATGTGGTTACTACATTTACCCATATTATCAAGTCCCCACCCATACCCCAATGCAGGCACTGTCCACCAGTGTAGTAAGATTTGGCCAGATGAATTTTAACACCTGCATTGGCTCCTAAACTGACAGTCTATGAAGTCGAGTGCTTCTCCCAGCCTTGGCCAGGGCCAGCAGCATCAGCATCCGTGGGCATATGCTAGAAATGCACATTGTCAGGCCTGCCCCGGCCTGCTAAGTCCGAGACCAGGGTGGCCCCGCAGTGTGCCTCCTAGCAAACCCTGCAGGTGATCAGATGCCTGCTTGGGGTTTTCAGTCCTCAGAGCTGGTGAGTGCCCATGCTGAGAGACTGAAGCTAGGATTCACTGCCAATTCCCCCTGTGCCTAGGGAAGCCCCCAGGGCAGTTCTTCCACAGTTTTCTCTCAGGAAAGGGGGAAGGGCTGCTGAGGAAAGGCCTCCTCTAGGTCTGCTGGCCTTCCCTCTGGATGCTGTCTGTAGCCCTCACTAGTCTCCACTTGACAACTCTTGCCTGCTCCATCTGCCCTGCATTTGAGCTGAGCTCATGGTTCATGCTGAGATTGGCAGGTGGAGCCTGCTGTGCGTATGTGAGGTCTCTGTGAACTGACTCCCTGAAGCACTTTTTGGTGATCATCCCAATTAATCAGTCCTCATCCTTCTGGGCACTGGATCACTTGGCTTTTAATACCAGTTTGGTGGTTAAACTGCAACTGTGGTGTCCAACCAGGCAGTTAATTAGATGGTTTTCTCCCTGGAGGATGCAGTTTTCTGGAGTCTGGTCCCCTGCAGCGTGCCTTGGTGGGACTTGGAGTCTGGGATGGCAGCTAAGTGTGTGCTATTTCTGTCTTTGCAGGAATGAGCTAGAGAGACAGTTTCTTGAATTGCTACAGTTTAACATCAACGTTCCTTCCAGTGTTTATGCCAAGTATTATTTTGATCTTCGTTCTCTGGCAGAAGCAAACAACCTGAGCTTTCCCTTGGAGCCCCTGAGCAGGGAGCGGGCTCACAAGCTTGAGGTATGATGCTCTAGCACATGGGTTTTGGTATTGCGGCAGATGCCTGGGTACATGCACGTGTGTAATCACAGTGACAGTTTCTTCCACTGAAATAAGCATGAGTCACCCTGGATTTATCTGGTCAGTTAATTTAATTGGTTGTAATTTGTACAACATCATATTTTGAATAACTTTCTAATACCAGTTTTTATTTAATATGCACTGATTCTGTTTTTCAAATGAAAGATTTTTTTTTAAGCCTCTTTTTTTCTTAAACCCACAAAAAGGTATTTCCCAGCATACACTTTGTGAGGAAAAAGATCAGAAGATCCAAGAAGGTTTGATCTTCTTTTTATTTTTTCAAAACATTTTCTCTGCAGCCCAGACAGAGCTGGGCCAGCCCCACTGGTCTTGGTCTGGCTTTATGGCCGTCATTGTTGAGCTGTACGGCTTTTGTGTCTCATACTTGTACATACCTCAGCTTCATACGTGCACCGAGCTCTTCGCATCTGACTTCCTGACAGGATGGAAAGTGGTGGGGTGATAAGGATCACTGATGAGACCCTCTCCTCCTGAAAAGGGTGCCAAGGTACCCACTCCACCCCCGGCCCCCCGACTACCATCCTGGTCTCATCCCACAGATCCCTTGACCAAAGCAGTGGATGGCACAGTATTGTTCCAAGCTTGGTGACACCCAGGAGGTCTGTGCTGCCTGCCCCACTGACCATCCCAACTTAAACATCATCCCCTATTCAGAGTCAGGATGGCCAGAGTGGTGGTCTAAAGAGGGCTAATTGCCAAGAACGAAACAAAGTCTAGAGGTGGGGGGGGGCAGAATATCTTGAAGATATATTCACAAGGTGAAAAAAGCAAAAATTTTAGATGACAATTTAAAAGGTAAATAATATGTTAATAATCCCAAGGAGGAAACTTGGTCAAACTGTGGGAAAGACTGGATGCACTTTACTGGGTTTAAAGTAAAAATCCAGTGAGATTTTCAGAACTCAGTCTCTTTGCTCTAATTAGTATCAGCCCTTAGAATGAAATTGCCATTTGAGCCTCCCAATTCTCAATTTGCTCCCAGGCAAGTATTGCCAGCCCTTCACAAGCACTAGATGGCGCAGTGAGCTGGGCCCCTTGAGGCCGGTCCCAGCCTGTGCTGCAGGCCTGGTGTCCCGTGGTGCTGGGAGGGCTTCGGGGCCCCTGGCAGCCATTTACCCACAGGAGAAGCAGGTGTGAGGGACTCTGAGGAGCATGCCTGGTGGTTCAGGCCAGCCAGTGGTGCACACACGGGCTGGCAGAGCTGGGGCTGGTGCCCGCTGTTCACCGGGTCAGGTTCTCTGATCCAAAAGGAGGGCAAGCTCGCCTGCTCCGGGGAAGCGGGAGGAAAGCTGGCCGTCCTGAGGAGACAGACACCGACCCCTCCTCTGGAAAAGCAGTTGACACCCCTTTGAAATAATTTATAAGGAATAGGATTTCATTATTTCCAGACCTAGCATCGCTGTCCGTCCATCGGCTTGCAAACGTGGATAGTGGGGAGGATCAAGGTGTTGCTGTTCCCTGAAGTTGTGCACCTCATGTGTTCAGGTCCTTCCAGTGGCTGCTCTGGGAGGGTGCCTGCACAGCAGAGGAAGCAAGGGCGCCAAGAGCCTCGACGAAGTCTTTTCCACAGTTTAATCAAGTTTCCTTCTTGGGATTATTAACATATTATTTATTTGCCTTTTTGTTAAGCTGGTTCGCTTCTCTGCATGCATGTGGGAGATGTGAGCGAAGCCAGCAGCAGTTCTCACCATGAGATCTAGAATAAGAGACTGTAGCTTCTTTATTATTCTGGCATTACATTCAGACACACTGTTCATGAGCAGAGGAAAAACAGATGGTAGCTTAGGAAGTTTAAACAAGTGAAAATAATTTGCTTTACCAATAAGGGCTTTGATGCCCTTAAACACTGACATTCTTTTCTGTAATTACGCCACCTGTATGACATATACAAAGCATGTTTCAGATGAGGGACTCTCGGTGTGATGGTCCAGCTGCTCACCTCATGGATCCCTCAGTTGGAGGAAGATGTCCTTGACTGCTGATGCTGTCCTTCAGGCTGGGCTCCATGCCTCCGCTGAGTTGTTTTTCTAAAATGCAGTCGTGGGATTGGGAAAGTAAGAGACTCAGCCGCCAGTTCCCTCTGTTTCCAGTACTAGGACCATACCCTGCAAGTCTGTGCCTCCATGATGAGCACCGTGATTGTCTCGTCCATGTCCACTGCACACATAGGCACGTTGCATGCTCAGGCCCCCACCACAGGTGGGCCTTGGAAGCGCATGAGCCTGCCCCTTTACCTTCTGTGATGGACACAGACGGTGAACACCTAAGAGGGTTGGCGAGTACGGTAGAAGGGGAGTGAAGAGGGAGCTGTGGAGTTGGGAGGGGCTCCTGTTGGCTGTGGCCTCCTGTGGATACTTCCATGCTGGGAAGGAGCTGCTGCAGAGCCCCTGGGGGAGGGGCTGGAGCGGCTCCAGCCCCATGGTGGGGAGGCTGGGACAGGGTGGGCCTGGCCCCAGGAAAGGCAGGAGGTCAGAGCTGCAGGGTTGTTGTGGAAATCCCAGCAAAGGCCGGTGGTGATCCCAAGATGTGGGCCTGTTGCTCCTGCCCTGGTGTCACTTGGTGATGGTGTCCTGGAGGATGGAGGCCATGTGTATTCCTAGCAACCAGCACAGGCCCTGGCCTGTTGTGTGAATTACAGAGGGACTATAAGATCTCACATTTGCTCATCATGAGGCCACCCAGCCCCAGGCTATCTGGAGATGGCAGGGTGAGTAAGACTGGGACAGCCATCAGGGTATGAGCCTCAGCTGGACTGACAGCGGCCCTGGGGGGGCTCTGGCTAGGCCCTCGCCCGAGGTGGCTTCCCATTCTCTCCTGAGGAGTCTCACTGTCCTCGTCAACAAAATAAGGGCCATGCTGATTGTCCCTTTGTCCCATAGTTCTCTTTTTAAAAAAATGTTTTTATTTTAAGTCTGTGCCTTTGTCCTCTTCACCCATCCCCCCACTCCCTCCCCTGTGGTGACCACCAGTGTGTTCTGTGTGTCTGGGAGTCTGTCTCTCTTTGTTTGTTCATTTGTTGTGTTTTAGGTTGCACATGTAAGTGAAATCGTACAGTTTTTGTCTTTGACCAGCTACTTAGTATAATACCCTCTAGGTCCATCCATGTGTTTCAAATGGCAGGATTTCTCTTTTTTATGGCTGAGGAGTATGTGCAGCCCATGTATTTGTGCTCCCCTGCCAGCCTTCTTCCTCTGCAATCATCTGGAGTTGACTGGAATGCTTGGTCATCTCTCCAACTTTCTCCCATTAACCTTTGTGGCACTTCCTCAGCCCTCCTCTCTGTGCGTCCAGCACAGAGCTCTGGTGCTTCATACCAGTCCTGCGAGGAGGACAGGGTGTCGTTACCCACTTGGCAGATGAGGATGCTGAGGGCCAGAAGTGGGGCGCATGCCCGCCGCCCCACTCTGAGTGGGGAGCCGGCCTCAAACCTGGGACCAGCTAGCACCAGGCTACACCATCTTAGCAGTTGCGTCACACCTTGAGATGATTTTCTCAGTTGGTCTATAGGCCCTTTGGAAGCGGACTTTTCCTCCCCTTCCTTTGTGATTGGTGTAGACCTGGGCCGTGGGACGTGGGCCCTTGTTGGCTTAGCTCACAAGTGTCCCTGGGGACCAGGACAGTGTGGGCACACAGTGGTAGGTGTCCCAAGAGTGAGTGAAGGGTGCTCCTGAGTCTGCCATGATCTGAACGGTCTCTCTTCTGTCCCCAGGCCATCTCTCGCCTCTGTGAAGACAAGTACAAGGACCTGAGGCGGTCCACGAGGAAGCGGTCAGCAAGTGCTGACAATCTGACTCTGCCGAGGTGGTCCCCAGCCATCATCTCCTAACAACAGGCGTCCCCATGGAGGCCCACCATCCCACACTTTCTCTTTTGGTTTGAGGAAGGGTGGACTTGGGATGGTTTTGTTTTGTTTTTCTTTCCTTTTTGTTTTTAATTCATAGCTTCGTCAGGCTGCCTTGATGACCAGCCCATGCAAGGCTTCTAGAGAAGCGAATCAGTGTTCCAGAAATCCCGTGTCACGCCTTTCGCCATCATCACCAACAGCACTTCCTTCACAGAGGGAAGAAGACTCTCCCCTGGAGGAGGAAATACGGAGAGAGGGAGGGAAACACAGGCCGGATGCAGGGGAGACGTCTGCTGCTGGCGTAGTTAGATGCGTCAGTAGGTGGCAGTTGGGTGCATAAAGACCACAGCTCACCTCTGTCTGGATCAGTATGTTCTGTAAGACTTCTTGCATTCCTTCTAACTGCTTTATTGGGATTTGAGGGATTTTTGTTTGTTTTTATTATCTTTTGGGTTTGGTCCCATGGAGCAGAGAATAGTTTGTACCCACCACGGCCCATCCAAATAAACAGCACTGGTTGTTTCTCTCTGCACTATTCCTGCGAGCTGTCTCCTGAGCTTCTTCCTCACAAGTGGGATGTGTTTGTTCCATTTCTGTACACCTTGTTTTATATTGTTTTTCTCCAACAGTGGCAAAACTGACTTGACCATATACTGAACCAAAAGCCTCCCCGTCCCTCCTGTTCCTCACCCCAAGAAAATTCTAGATCACATGGGTGCTTGTGCCTTCGATTTCCGTGCAGTTGTTTTTTTCCCTCTGATCTGAAATTGTGGTTTTGTTGCGACTTGGTGGGCTGAAGCACAGTTGTGTTGCTGGGTGGAGACGTCCCAGGTGCTGGGTGTGTGCCTCATTTCTCTGTGCCCCCTGCTCAACCAGTTCATCCCTTACTTCCGTGTCTATTGTTGCAAGCAATATTCTTCTCAACTTTTGTATGTTTACTTTAAATCAAAGTTAGTCTATTTGTATACAATTTTTTAAAAACCTAAAATTGAAAAAAAAAAGGCGGGGGTGGGTATTCCAGTGGGAAGATCATTGAAGAGCAAAATGTTACTCTTTACTAAGGTATTTTTCACAGAATGACAGAATAAAAAAACTCAACTTGCGTTTTCATTGTGGGTGCTTAGAGAAGTCACACAAAATTCCAACTGTGAAGGTTTATGCAGTTTATGCTTCATTCATTATGGCGTACCATTTCCTCTTCTGACTATCCCTGATTCCTTATGGGCTAGATAAGCTTACCTTTTATATATTAAGTAAAATAAAAAGGTTAATGATAGAATATCAGTGAGTAAATTTGATATTAAGTCTCAGAACCTGAGTCAATGAAGCATGTAATGCTTTGGGTTTTTGCATATTTTCTTGGGTCCCAATGACAGTGGTTTCTGAGTTGTTTCCTTTTTCAGGTCTCTGTAAGGTGAATGCAGAAGATAATGTGTGTTTCACCTTCCTCTTGTGTGAGCTTGGAAAACCTGGGACTTTTAACATTCTTTGTCTTGAGTACCCTAAGATCATACCCCCAGTCCCCAGACATCTGCTCCCCATGAAATGTGCTTTAGGAGTGAAAGAGACTCAGAAAATTGAAATCGCAAGAACACCAAGTTGAAAGCACTAGTCAGGTTTCCATAAAATTTGTATCCTGTAAACGTAACTGTTTGGGCCAAAAATACTGTCAAGTTCTTTCTGACCTAAACTTCTAAGGGCAAACAAGCAGAATATGACAAGTTAATTATCTTCCCATTGTAATTGTGTTGATATACTCTGTATGGGTACCAAAATCTGCTTCTCTCCTCAAGTAAGAGTTGGATTTAGAACTTTTAAATAGAGATCTAAAAATGTAGAAAATACCATTTTATATTCCCTAATCTATATCGCTTAAAAAGGGACATATTTTCTTAGCTGAATATGAATACCTCTCAAGCATAAATTAGTTCTTCTCATGTAAAGTACCTTATTTTACTGATCCATTTCAGGAAAGAAGTTCTGCCTTTAAAGCAGAAATCATATTTTTATCCCTTTTATTTGAACAAGAGAGATTTGAAAATTGACTTATGTAAATACTTTCAGTGCATCTGCTATTATTTTGTGGAGTTTATTAAACTACTTTAAAAAATTGTATAGTCTATTTATTGTACGTATATACATACAGTCTGATAACTTTTAAGTGGAATCCATAAAACCTGGCTCAGTCTTGTTTAGACTATTGAATATTGTTTTAGCCTTGTGCACTTGACTCTACCTCTGTATAGGAAAATTCTCCATATTCATTAAGAAGTTTTGATCTGTATTGGTTATGTTTCTTGCACTAAGGATTTTTACAGTCTGCTGTAAGTGTAGATTTTAGTTTTCAGTATGAATCACTTGACAGATAGATAAATACTTAGGTTTGTTTGACTTTATTTTTCTACCTGATGATGATGATTTATATTTTGTTCTCTGGTTTGTTCTAAGTTTGCCAAAAGAAAAAAAAAACCAAACCCACCGACCACCAGTACAGTACTTATTGATAAATCGTAGTGACTGTAATTTGTTTGCAAAGTGATTCAATGCCCTACAATTAAAGTTGGATTGCTATTTAGGAATGCATTGTGTTAGTGTAGTTTTTGAATGGACAGTTCTCATCATAAATGAAGGATAAAACCACACAATTTGTTGACTTTTAATTTTAGATTTGACTTGAATAACAAAGTCATTGGGAGAATATATCCTGATGAATTTCTTCTTGGTTTGTTTTGCTTTGCATTGGCTGAGGAAAGGAAAAGAAGTCAGGGCTTTAACACTAAATTGGAGGGCAAGGTGGGAGATTCTACCGAGGCCCCGATGGTGCCCCATGCCTTAATGCACAAGGTGGGGCCGATGTCAGAGCCTCAGTCCCATTATCTGGCTCCTTCCTGAGTGGCTCTCCCAAGTTCCTTCTCTTGGTCTTTGGCAGGAGCTTCTCCATTATGGGGTTTTCCTTGGTTCTGGGGATTTTGATCCTTAGCTGAGCTGCAAAACTGGAATTTTAGGAGTGAGAGATTGTGATCCTTTCTGGCTGCTTTTGGTAACCTCTCTCCTGGGGTCATATTTTATAGCTTTGAATTTTTAAAAAATATAATTCCTGGTTCATTGTAGGTACTTAATAAGTGTTAAATAAATAAATGCATAGAACAAATAGTACCTGCCTTCCTGCTGCATTTTTTTGAATATTGAGATAAAATTCAACAGGTTATGTTTTAAGCTACATTTATTGCAGCGAGAGCCCTACACACAACCTCACTAAGATGGTTGGTGCTGTTGAGCACAGAGCCTAACAAGCGATTGTACCTGGACACAAGCCCTCCCCCAGCACCCATCCGCTGCCCCACCCCGGTGCCCAGCAGGCCTGGGTACAGGTTGGGGCCTGTATCAGGGTGCTTGTGACAGTGATCGTGTTGGCCCTGACCATGTCAGCCAACTTCTTCCCCATTTGCCTGCTAGATTTGCTTATTAAGTTTGTGTATGTGAAGCTGCTGATGGACCACTTAGCCACTGTCCAGTAGAAACTTTGAGAGTTCTGTGATCAGCTAAAATGATCTGATTTTATTGAAGGCCATGGTGTGTCCCCCGTGGCTGTGAGTCTGAGCTGTAATCCAGGTGAATGTGTCAGGGCAGCTGTGTTGTAGCTGTAGGTTTCTGTAGAAAGAATCCTGGAAGAACCTACTTAGCAAGAAATGAGCTTACAACGAGGAGTCTGACCAAACGGTGTTCAAATGTTTCAGGTCTCAACATTCCTGTGTCCTTTGATTTGGGTAAAGGGCTTTATTCCTTTTAAGAACTTTGTTTATATAAACAAGTCATTTCAAATTGCTGTGCAGCACAAAAAAATGGCATTCCAAAACATTGTTTTGGACAAAGGTATTAATGTAACTAGAACTTAAGTACATAACATGTTCACGTTGGTATTGATTTGTATTGTCATAGGTTTTAGTCTCAGTCCAAAGTCAACTTGCTGTGTAACTTTGGACAAATTGCTTAACCTTTCTGGATCACTCACTGCACTTGGCTGGCAGACACACTTGCCTGGTTGTTTCCATGCTTGCCTTACTCTGTTTCTGAACACACTCTGCTCAGCCGTTCTCAATGGCAATTGGAGGATCGGATGCTCCTCTGCACGGAGTAGGAAGGCTGTTCCTGTGGACAGACAAATGTAAGCCTAACTGGGAGTTTCCCTGGGGAATCTGTTGTCCTTTTCAGGGTCCCCCTCCAAAGAAGGGTGCCCACTGGTAGATACAGCTATTCTGTGAAGGGCAGGGGACCCAGGTTTCAGCTGGGGTCCATCCTTTCCCTGGGTCTCTCTAGCTGGGTTTTCCTGGGCCTGGTTTGTGAATTCTTATCTACACTGATGAGTGCTAGACATCTTGAAACAGTGATCTGAATGTAGGAATCTATCTTAAGATGGGTCTGTTTTGAAAAGAGTGCCTCACCATTGTGAAGCCAGCTGATGCTTATTCTTCCTAGTCCTGCAGGCCAGAAGCCCTGGAAGCCCAGCCTGGGAAAAGAAGGACTCTGCTGCTGCCCTCACAGGGCACTTCCCATCAGTCCAGGAGGTTGGCAGACAGCCATCTGCTGGCTTCCCAAATCAGCCCCTGTTCACCAGCCCTTGAGGTCTACTCAGAGGATTTGCATTATGGTGGGGGGAGGGGGTCGCATAAGAATTGGGTTCACTCCAAAGCAAAGAGCAGCATTTGGGCTGGGCGTGTGGTAAAATGCATCTGCAGGGTCAGGGCACCCAAGTACAAAGCCCTGCCAGGGTGCACTGGACATTTGGTGTGGTGAACCTGACAGCTTTACTAGATTCTGAGTTGCTTCATCTTTAAAACAAAGAAATGCATCACTCTCTAGACGACCCTAGCGGCCTTTCCCCTCCTAAAATGCAATTATTCCATGAATCATTTAGCTATTCTGGGATTTCAGGAGCAGTCTCAGGATCTATAACAACAGGCTTACTCACCCCTGCAGTCTTTTAAAAAACAAATTTGGAAAACCTACAGTGACTCATTTTAGAGTCCCAGGTTATGTTAGCTCCCCGTGAAGCATCCTGCATTGAGCGGTAGCCTCTTAAATGTGAGCTGAACTGGAAATAAAATTCATCTTCTAGATTATCTACAAAACACATGTAATTCATTTTGTAATTAATAGAAGCGAGTAAGCACATAAATAGACAAGAGGAATTGTGGTCAGTGCCATGAAGGCCGTGGGTGATGTGGCAGCACCTAGGAGGGGCCAACTCAGGGGTAGCCTTTTAAGTAGGGGTCTCCATGGAAGAGCTAAGAGAGCTTCCTGAAAGAGGAAGAGGTGGAGGGAAGAAAGGGAGATGGTAGGAGACTGGGCTGGAGAAGAGCCGGCTGGGCCTGTATGGTGAGGGGCACAGATTGTAAGGCCAATGGGAAGCCAATGAAGAGTTGGATTGTACCGTTTTATTAGACTCCACGGTGCCATGTGTTGCTCTGCTCAAGGCATGCATATGACATGGGAAGCATGGCTCCTGCCTGTGTGCCCACAAAGCAAAAGGAAGGGAAGGGCTGCATGCCCTTTGTACACAAGACATGGGAGAAAAATCAACAAAATCATGAGGTGGGGTTCTTGCCATAAAATGACTGGGAAGAACCATCCTTTTCATTGTTATTCATTCTGATTGCAGGTTGTCTGTTCATGAGTTAAGTCAAAATACCAGGTACCTACTATCTAGCAGGCATTGTGTGCAATGGGGGTACACCCGGACTAAGACCATGGCCCTGTCCCACAGAAACCTGTATTGATTTGGTCTGGTCCAGTGGCTTGACGTGTGTTGTGTCACAGCCATGAAGCAGCGTTATCTGAACTTGTGTTTGGTCATGGAAGTGTAAATAAGGTGGTTCCTGAACATCCTTTCTTCCTGCAGGCACTCATGGGGTTCTACAATTGTTTATTTAATGTTACATGCCAGTATTTTTTCAGTGCCTTGAAGCTAGTGTGGTTGGTCCCAAGAAAATCGGAGAGAAACAACTGAAAAATGATCAATAGGAGTTCAGTAAGATGGCAGTTACAAGATCACTACAGAAATTGATGGTTTTCTAAGTCCCCAGCAATAACCAATTAGAGACTATAATGGAGTAAAGATATCACTCTGAATTGCCACAAATTATAGCATATCCAGGAACAAATACATGAAGTGCTCACAGTGTGCCCAGCATGTAGTAGGGGAACTCAGTGTGTGTTAATTTATCTAATCCTATTCAGTTTCATGAGATTCATGGCTGAAGATACTTAGGCTTGGAGAGGGGAAAAACCTTGCTTCAGCCCATAGTCAGAACCAGGAAGCCCAACTCCAGAGTTTACTTTGAACAAACACCATGTCATATGACCTTTCTTTGTTAGGAGACATGCTGTAGTGAGTTCGGTTGCATCCCTCACAAATTCATGCCAATGTGACCTTCCCTGGAAATGGGGTCTTTGCAGATTAGTCTAGATGAGGTCACACTGGATTTGTGTCAGCCTCCAAACCAATGATTGGTGTCCATATAAGGAGAGGGAGGTTTGGAGACAGACAGTGCTGTGTGACAGCAGAGGCAGAGACTGTGCAAGGCAAGAAAGGAGTCTTCCCTGGCACCCTCTGAGCAGGGCTTGCTCGTGCCTGGGTTTCAGACTTTGCACCACCAGATCTGAGAGATTCTGTGATGAGCCCACCAGCAAGTGGAAATGTGTTCCAACACCCCTGGAATGCCTGAATAAAGACGCCCTGACCTTCAGAGGCGGCCACGGAAGAAGGCCCCGTGTTCCCGATGGGAGCGGCCGCGCTGTAAGCATGTCCCGTCTTCCCCCCGCAAGCGCCCCGCCCTTTGCCCACCATGCTCTCAGGCACACCACTGCCCCAACGGCGGCCCTTGGTGCTGTAGGTTCCCTCTGGCATGTTTCCCCCAGAAATTTGCTTTGCTCCTCATTCAGACCACGTGGTCCAGGAGGCCCTGGGGCTCCCACTCCGCACGGGAGCCCCCTGCAGGCCCTGCCCAGCCCACTCTAAGCCTGGCCCAGCTGTCTTCTCCGTGCCCTTCTGCAGGCGGTTTCCTTGAGGCCTCCCGCCCTGTTGCGAGGCTCCCGGAGCGCCGCTCGAAAGTATGCCTTTTCGTGGGAGACGAGGTCAGACAACGCGGGCCCCAGAGCTGTGAGGCAGGCTTAGCGACGCTCGTCCTTGAACTGGGCGTGTGTGGAGGCTGAGAGATGCTGGGAGAGGAAATGAATCCCGCTCAGGAATGTTGTCCTTTCCCCGTCTCTCCCCCAACGTCCGTGTCGCTGAGGGACAGTGTCAGGGAGACCTTACTCGTGGGGATGTGCGTGTACAGATGAAGAGCTTTGGAAGTCGCCCAGGGAACCCTTAACACTCATTCAGTCTACAGACATTTGCCTTAAACATAACTTTTTTTCCCCTAGAAACATAACACTGATCCCTTATATGTTGGATTCTTCCAACTAACAAATTCATAGACTTCCTCATCTCAGCACCTCCTGATGTCGGAGCAGAAATGTTGTCCCCGTCATTCTCCAGATGGAGCCAAAGCCCAGAAAGGCTAAGTGACTTGGTAAA